TCTCCAAAATGGTTTCCATGCAGCTTTACCTAATCAAAGCAATGGGCTCTTAGCTCTATGCCAGCACAGAGTGGAGGGGAGGGGTGTGTGCCAGATTTCCCAGACCAACCACCCTGCTCAGCACACAGCCACAGATTGTAGAGATCATGGCAGCACCTCCTCTGTTACCCTCCTCCTTTTGTCTCAGCCCTCTGTAACCTGAGGCTCTGTTGTGAAGTACAGCACCATAATCCCCAAATTGTGAGCAAGAGCTGTGTGTCAGCTGGGGCTGGACAAAATGAGAAAGAGAACTTTACAGACAGAGGCAAGATTGTTGAGATTAAGAATGCCACTTCCTGGAAAGGCATGAAGACTTAAATCAAAAACAGGGATTGAAGGAAGGCAACTCAACAACTCTGAGGATGAGCTGAGCTGGTACCAGGGAACAAGAGAACACTGTTTTCCCCTGTTGCTGTCAGGTCCCTGCCAGCTCTCCTTTGTCTGGGAACTTGTCAGTCTCAACTATGTGAATAAGGCAACAAATAATTGCTTTGTAGCTTAAAGATGTGTGTATCCTGCTTGCACCGCCTCTTTCTACGCAATCAGTTGTCAACGGCAAAGTACAGAGAAGAACAAGGACACCTGCACTATGCCACAGCTGCCAGCACGGCCAGGATGCCTCACTAGATGTCACCCTGAATGATGGCTCATACTCTGCATGCAAGCAAGGAAAAAACCTGATGGTGCTTTGATACATGCAGACAGACTGCCACTAGATGGAAAAGGCAAAATCTGTTCACTTGCAGCAAATGCTGAGAGTGGGGGGGACCAAACCACAAAATTAATAGAAACCACAAAATAAACATATGATCATCATTCACACCTACTTTTATCTGATATCAAGCTTTATGGCCTACCAATTTATCAGAACCACTGCCAAAAAGACCTCCATTCCTCATAGCTGGCGGCACAGAACATGGAAGCACAGACCAGGAATCCTACTGATGCTCAGCAGACACAAGGTTACAATGAGAGCTGCTGTTTTCAAGTGTGATACAACTTTTCAAAGAGGACCACACTAATTGTCCTGCTTGATCTGTAAAGATCCTTATTTACCTGCGTGACTGTGGAAAGTTTGTTGCATTTATCCACAAGCCGAAGGGAAGTAGATATTAGTCTTTAATGTCAGAATCTGAATGTCTGCCTAAACAAACACAAACTAACTACTCTATAATCTGTCAGTAAATGAGTTTTTCTGGGACTGAAGGAAATGCCAATAAACTTAAAAACAGGAAGCTGAAAATAAGGCACCAGCAAAATGATATCATTTATTTAGTAGGGAGGAAAATTCAAGAAATGTGGTGGCCATAAGGTGTCAATTTTTCCTTCAATTTGTTCCATGATTTGGATTTGAGAAATTCTTCAATGAATGCATGTAACTTGCAGGCATTGATTGCTAACCAGCAGCATTCATCAGATTTCCTCTCACGCAAAGTGACTCTATGGGCTGCCTTCCCCCATCATCCCCTGCCCTTTGACCAACAATTTCTCACTCCCAATATCCTTCCGAAATAACTTGGGAAGCTTCTGCTCCAGCACATATCTGGCTTTTTCCTGTGATAGTAGCAATCGCTAATGTTATATTTTTGAAATAAATTATTTTAAAACAGCTTTCAGAAAACACACATTAAAGAGTAAATTCTACTAACCTGGGATATTTTATCCTCAAACCCAAAAAACTGGTTCTGCTGCTTGAGAAACTTCTGCTATTGATGATTTTCTTACCTTGACCAGTGCAGCTACACTCTTTCCCAAATCTCCATTGCTCTAGCTCCTCCTCTGCTAGTTTGACTCTCTTCCCTCTTTTGTCTTCTCAGAGCCCCAGTTCTTTGAGCTGTTTTTCTGCTGAGTCCTTGGCCAGCTGGGCTGGTCCCCCCAGCCACCACTGTTTTCCCAGTCATTATCCACTCCTGCAGAGGACTGCCATGTCCTGCCAGCTCCCTGAGGTGACCCCTCCCTCCTCTTGGTCTTCACTCCTCCTTCTTATCATACATCCATTAGGTTCTAGCACAAGGGCAATGTAAGCACAAAAAAATACAAGCTCTGTGCTGGGCCCAGAGCAGCTTTGATGGGCAAAGTCTGACTCTGTTTGCATGCATGGGCCAAACAGCCTTGATTACTCTTCAGAGTTCATATACACACACCTTGATCAGAAACAAGAAAAATTAATAATTTTTTTCACTAAAATACAGTCTGAAGTTAACATCCAGGCTAGAAAACATGAGACCAAAAGCTTGTGATTTTACAAAGTTAGCAATGACTAAAATCCACCTCCAATGACAAGAAATATCAAGCAACCTAAGTAACCAGCTTTATGAGCTACAATTGTAATCAGCTTCCTAATGTTTCTGGTACCTCTTCATTACCTGTACTTCTCTGGAGTAATTTTTCAAGAAAAATTATAAAAATAATCTGGTTTTGTAGGTTATTTTTACACAGCTGTTTAGAGCATGATACATTCACTTGGTGAAAGGATGTTAAGTCAGCTTCACAAATATTTAATCAAGCTCCAGCACAACTTTGCTCCTTTCTAGAAAGGCAAATATCTGTGCCTCGTGGTTGCTGTAGTTACATCTTACTGGAGAAGCATCCAGGCTGTTCCCCCTTTGGGTTCGAGACTTCCTTCCTAGATCTGTGGTCAGCTAAAACACTAACTATAGCTTTCTAGACAGAAAATCTACTATTGCCAGGATATTTCACTGGCTTTGTGAGAGAGTGTATATGATTTTTCAGGAGTGTAAAATGAAGTGTTGTTTGGTAAAGTTAGATTATTTTATTATCAGAGAGTGCTGAAATAATAATTCTGTACAGTTCATTAGTATTATATTTATTGAAATTAAAGGTCAGATTTATGTAATGAGATACATAGCTGTTCTTCTTCTTCATGAGGTGTAAATTTTGTTAAAGCTGCTAGTAAAAAACAAATCAGAAGTGATTTAAGCACTGCATGTTGTTCCTCAGAGAGCTTTCATGTTGTTCCTCAGAAAGCCTTTCCCAGAAATAGTGTTGTTTTGTTTTTGTTTTTGTTTTAATTTCAGCAGTGAATTCCACTCAAAGAATGGTAATTATTTGTGGTTTAGGTTGCATGTATCAATGTTCAGACTTAATTAGATTGTTGGCTATGGTTGCCTGGGTATTTGCATGAGTGTGACTGCAAACAAGCTCTGGTGGAGTTCCAGCATGGAGGCTGTTTCACTGCAGGGCAGTGCCAGCCCTGCTACACTAAACATGTGCCAGACTTGGAAATAGAAGGGACCTTGTTCTGCTTCAACCTCAGGCCTTGTCCAGCATCATGCAGTGACACTTGGAGATCTTTCAAGAATGTGTGTCATAGGCCCTGTGAGAGCAGATAGGAAAAATAGCAGAACTACTGTACAGCTCTGTGCTGTATGAAAGCTGCTTCCATGCATGTTTACAAAGTTGCTACTGAATAATGAAAGGACATTTGAAAACATTTCTTTCTAAAGACATATATGAAATCTATGTTTTCCCTGTACTACATGAAAGTGAACAATATAGTAGAGGAATTAGTAAAGATGGAATTTGCTTTAGGACAGTACCAAGGAAGGAGAGAAAGGCAAGCAGTATCTAATAGACATGATATGCTTGTTAAACTATTCCTGTTACTCTAATTCACTTAACCTAGGTACACCCATTCTTTTGTGTCGCTTTAGAAGTCACAGTAAACAGCTCCTAAATGGATCACTAGGGGCTGGATGCCCTCTTTGCTGAGTTGCAGCCATACAAACCCAGCTTCAGGGCCAACACATTACATGCTGCAGACAGGTGTTTGGAAATTACTGAGATAGGTAAGTAAATTACTGATGCGTTAATAGAGGAAAAAGTGATAAAAATAGCATAGAATCCCTCAGGCTGCAAAACACACCAGATGATAAAATAGACTTGTCAAATTATTGGTGACAAAAGACAGTGAGTAGGGAACAATTGTTCAGTGTTTCTTCCAATGAAAGATCTGCAGATTTTCAAATGAAAATAATAGCTAACTGAAAAGAAGGGAAGACATTTTTTCACATAGTGCACAGCTAAAGTATGAAGCATTTTGCTGCAGGAATTAATGTTTACATAAATTCCAAAGACTCTGCAAAAAATTCTTAGAGGAGAAATCTGTCTGGCATTTTTAAACACATCAAAATGGACTGTGTATCAGAAAGCCGCAAAGCAGCCTCAGCTTTGTAGTCTGGGCTGTGTCACCAGAGCTGCTGACACACTCGTCTGCCAGTCACTATTGCAATATCCTGCCTCAACACAACACTGCACTTCAAGAGCTCTGGGTTTCACCACGTATGTGGCCTTTTGTATTTTCTGTCATTTGCCTGCAGGACCATAAACCTGACTGCAGCATTTGTGGGCAGTACAGGACGGCACCACCATGGACTTGAGCTCCTTGTATGGGGAGTTCACTTGCCTGTGGTTTGAGCTCACCGCATCTGTAGAGAGAGAAAGTTGCTTCCTACTGCTGTTTATTTTTAGCAATTTGCTCAAACGTGGACTTTCACCATTGAAATGTAACAGCATGAATATGTAAATAATAAATCCCTGTCAAAAAGTAATTTAGGAAGACTCCAGGTACCTTATCGCTCCTCTTCAGTTGCATCATGACTTATCACAGTTGACATTTCAGTGAGGCTGTAGTAGCAGATCCAAATTTGAACATCCGTAGGGAGAAGATGCAATACAGCAGCTTTGATGTCAATAGAATGTCAGTCTGTGTCGACTTTGTTCAGATTGAACTTAATTGCAGGAACTGCATTAATAGTCAACATAAGCCATCTGTTTAAACGTGTGTTTTGAAAAGAACTGCCATGTACAATAAACATGTTCAGCTGTAATGACTCACATATCTGTTCACGTGAAATGGGGATTTGGCAATTTCCCTAACAAAAACATTCAATTACAGGTTAAAAGTATTTTTATATTAAGTTAATTTGTTTTCATGGCAGGTCCAGTGATCTGACTGTTTTGAGGCAGTCTGGAAGGTATGTTCACTGCTGAGCTGATGAACCAAACTGTTTGGCCAGCCTTGTCTCACAAACCTGTTTGGTAAGTCAAAGTTGCACCAAGAAACATCAGCAGCTCATGGCACTAAGTGGCTGACAGGCACATAGTTACAGTTGCAAAGTGTTCCTCAAAACATTTGTCCAGGTGCACTTGAAGGCTGAGTACAGTGTCCCAGGCGTGGAGCAACTGTTAAGTCCAAAACAAGCCAAGTAAGCCTCGTGGCACTGGCAGACTGGCTGAGTGCTATCTGTAGCCACCATGGGCTCATGAAAGGCATAAGCATTCACCTTGATTATACATTATACTGAGCCCTGATCATGCATGGAGGGAAACTTACCCTTCAAGCAGCTGAAAAACCTGAGCAATTATGTGACATCACCTGAGCAATCAGAAATATGCAACCTCCCAGTTTAACTGTCAGACTGACTAGGAAGAGCAGATTTTCAGCCCTTTGTTCTTTCTTAAAAGTAACAGCTAATGTGCACTTACAGGAGTGAAACAAGCTGCCATTAGCTATTACTTGTGGTGTCAGTTCTAAGTAAGCTTTGTTAAATTAATCATTGCAATGCACTGGTACCTGGACTTATTCAGCAGAATCATAAATTATGAATCTGCTTTCATACAGACTGAGCAGGAACATAGAGCCTGGCTGTGTCCTTCCCTCTCATGTGTACAGAGTAGAATCCTGTTACATTATTGACACACTTATGGGTGCCTGTATATAGAAACGCAGAAACTGGAAGGGGTAGGGAAATAGGAGGGAGGAAAAACCCTGTATGGTCAAGGAACATCATGAATTAGCAAGTCCAAAATCTTTCCTTGACATCACCTTGGACTTGTTTTTTTGTTTTGTTTTCACCTCTAGGATAATTTTAAATTACTAGGAGCTATAAATAGGTCTCTTATTTCCTAAATTATTCTACTGCACAAATTGCTTGTTACAATGAGGTGCAATGCTTCATTAAATTAGGAGGTTAATAATTGTGTATTATGATGTACTTTAATATCCTGCTCTGTCAAAGGATTTTGTTAATGTTTATATTTCAGTGACATTTAAGTGGACATGGTGTAGAAGAAACCTGTAGAACTAGACTTCTGTGTGCTGTACTGGATTGCTCCTTTCCCCTTACATCTGATTATGTCTTCGTTTGTAGTTTCCAGAAAATCTGGCAGCACAGCCTGTGTTAGTTTAACCACGCATGTATGGCTAACAGGTCTCCTCTCACCTACCACTACTCAATGTGTAAGAGCATCACAAGCAAGCCAAGCTGGGCTGTGCTGCCAGTTCTTTCCAAATCAGAGAACTGTTACCCACAATTTCAAAATCAGTCTCCAGGGCTGTGTGAGACAGGCAGGTGACAATTCAGTAGCTTTGCAGAACCCAGAGTGTTCATGTCATTAAATATGAATTAAAGTGGCAGTGATCCCCAGCTTTTCTTATGATGTATCCACTAGAAAATTATGTTTTTCTGATTAGCTGATTTATAAAATTGTCAGTAGTGTTTTACATGGGAATATTTCATGTTTTGTTTCAGGGTTCAGGCCTCCCTTCCATACACCCACATTTCTGTTGTTGCTGTTATTATACCTACATTTTTTTAGGGGTATCTATGGCACATAAGTGCTACTTTCATTTTTTCTTATTCCTCATAATCTGTACAACATAACAGGTGACAATAGCATAATTTTCAGGTTACTTAGCTGGATTTATCCTCCAAAGTCTAGATGCACAGAAGTCAGTTTGAGACTACTCTGGTTTTCTCCAGATAGATACATCTGAGGTGTCCACACACTCAGATAATTGTCACACAACAAAATAAGGATAAACAGGAGGGCACAGTGAGGCAGATGGAGAAGGCTGCACAGTATCAGAGGGACCAATGGAAAGCAGAAAGGGGTAAAGTTCCCCTCCCATCATACACAGAAATACAGTTCTTACTACCACAGCTCCTACCACTGACTCAGTCCTGCCTTCTTTTATTTGATATTGCATAGGCGGTAGCTACAGGCCTGGTATATTCAAGACCATGGTAAAAAGAATTTGCTCTTCTGATGTATTCTGGGCAAAAGCTTCTCTTCAGATATTGCTGTATCTCATGTATGAGATACATGTTTATCTAGCATATTATTTTGCAATGAGGGTTCAGGGTCACTCGTCAGAAAAACATTGAACAACTCCTGTCTTCACTTTTAAACTGTTGTCAGTCTGGTTGATGCATTTGGAATTACATACTGCAAATCTTTTCACCCTTTCACTTGACACACTTTGGTCTTGCAGCCTATGCATTCAAAAATCTTGTTAATTTAGGTGCAATGAGCAGAGAAATGGATCATCACTGAATCCCAGTGTTCTGCTCTAGTAATCTATTGAAGAAGCAAGACTTCAGCCTTGCCAAATTATTTTTGTCAATATATTTCAGGTTTTGAGTCTTGCTTAGTTTTGTAACACTTGCATTTTATACTGATGACAGGGCATCTCACATAGGTATTAAAAGTTTTTAACTTGGCACTTATGACATTCTGAGATTCCCTTTGCATGTAATGTAAGCAGGGTCAGACCACAGATATTTGTAATACTTTTGGTAAAAAAGCCAAGATAGGTGAGACATATTATTACATTTCTGGTATTAGCAAAACATACAAGCAATGGACAGAAAAGTCATCTCCCGTGTTTGGAAGGTGAAACTGAGTAAAAGGAACAATGGTGGTGTGATTTGAGGAAGCAAAGATGGAGCCAAATTCTTCTCAGTGCAACCAGAATGAACAAAAGGAAACGGGTGCAGATGAAATATGGGAAATTCCATTCACACAAAAGATGACATAGGAGAAGGAAGAGGAGATAAATGCCACTTTTTTACTCTGGGGGTGGGGAAGCACTAGGACAAGTTGTCCAGAGAGGATGTAGGATATCTCCATCCTTTGAAGATACTCAAAATCCAACTGAACATAGTCCTGGGCAGACTGCACTAGCTGATCTTGCTGTCAGCAGGGGGCTGGTCTCAGGGATCTCTGGCTCCCTGCCAGCATCCACTATGCCAGGATTCTGAAGCTGACAAAAAGTCATGGGCCAAAGCCATAACAAGGACTATTTTTCTTTAGGGAAAAAAGTTCTTATCAAGCAAAAGGGAAATGTGAGTGGTACTCAGTCCTCAAATAGTATTTCTTTACAGCACAAGCCCTGAGTGGAAATACAAATAAATGGAGCAGATTAGCTCCATACTGGCAGACCTGCCCTGTATTTTGGCTTTGACTTTATCAGTTTTTTCTCCATTAACTTCCCTGAGATCATGCTGCATTTTGACCTTTTAAAAAGTCCCACGGATTAAATCTCCCTTTGTTTTTGTTCATATCTGTGCAATTCTCAAGTGCTCTGTTCATCTCCTGTGCCCATGTAGTAACTTCCAAGGGTTGTCAGCTGGACATGTCTGTTGTCCCATAACTTCCACCCAGTCCCATTCCTGAAGCAACCTTAACTCATTCATTCTTATCAAGATATCCTCATAACAAATGGTGAAAAAAAGTCACATGCTTTTTTAAAACAATACAGAAATATTCCAGCTGGTTCACATAGCATTTTGTCTACATTTACTAGATGTGTCTGTTCCTTTCCAATAGATCTAGTTAAAACAAGTCTTAGGAAACACACCATTGAATTAGATTTGTGCTTAGGATTTATGCAGACTTGGAAAATGTTCAGTGTTCCCAGTGGGTTAAGAATAGTTCTCAGCTTCACCAGTGTTTTCATACTAATGGTCTTGTTTCAAATTCCTCTGGATTATACCAGAGGAAATAGCCCAGCAAAATATTCTGCTAAAAAAGCCAGCTGGGTTAATAAGCAACAAAGCTGTGTGATAGGTTTTGTAACTTTTCCAAACTTTCTATAAATCAGAAGTTTTACCTTAAAAATGCAAAAATATTTCTCTGATGCACTGCAACCTCTGTCAGGGCACAGGGTTTATCACCCATCTGAGAAGGGTGGGTATTTACCTTTACAGAATCCCACTTGACAATGCCTTTGCTCCCAACCCAACCATCCTCCATCACTGGTGGAGTACATGTGGCAGACAAACAACACTTAGGGCTCTACATAAATTGTCTTATCCATTAGAAATCATCTGTGGAGGTTTGACTCTCCTTCCCCCACAGACCAGCCAATTCAACACTGCACAGCTGAATTACTGTCTTGAATCAGCTTTGACAGCCACTAATTAGGGGTGTGAAAGTCAGCATTTACCACTACAGTCACTTTTTCACCATTTGTGACATTGCTTTTGCCAACACTCAGCATGAGCTGTTTGCCTTTAACAAGCTCTACTGGGTGATCCTTCTTCTCCTGCACTTCAACTCCACCTTTATTGTCAGCTTCAGCACAGCAGTCCCTGCAGGCTGGGCAGCAGGTCACGCTGAGCCTGTCTAACACCACAGCTTTGTCATGCTGTTCAAGTGTATGCAGGAGCAGTGCTGGGGCCCCCAGCTCAGCTGAGGTTCTGGCATGCAGCACCGCAAAAGCCAGCTGTGCCCAATGCCTTCTGCAAAATGTAAGCTGGGGATTTCAACAGAAAGCAATTCTCTGCTGTGGGCACTGGGCTGTCAGAAAAGATCAAGCAACACATGCTTACAAATAGGGTATGTTCTAGAATCAAAATTACATAAATAAAATCATCTAGTGAAATCACAGAAACCTCAGAGGCAAGCTGAAGTTGACTCTGGGATTTCAAGACAATATCTGTTCCTGCTTTTATATTTACTGGTATGATAAATTCAGGTTTATTGCTCATGGGAAACAGCCAATGGTTAACATAGGAAGATTTGCCCACCCCACCAAAACCAGAACAAATATTTGAGTTAAAGGGTTTCACCTTCTAGAACTGTCCACATTCATAAGGAGCTTATAGAAATGATCCTGAATATTCATACAATGCCATTCTAAGCTACTTCATCTCATCCTTCACCTCTGTGCATGAGCAAATGAGCACCTCTAGTATAAGCCTCTTACCCGAGTAACATTTCTCAATGTCTTTCACAGCTCTTAAGAGAGAGAAGAGCTCTTCCTTACAGGCAGCTGAGGAACATGGTGACACAGACATATGAAATCCACAGCACACAGGGATGCAAGCATCAGGAAACAACTTGTGTGACCTCCTCTAATTCACAGCAACAGTTTAAACAGACAGGCTGTGACTTGCTTCCCTGTAAGTGCTTCTTCATTGGATTACTTTCTTTCACCTTGTGCTCCTTCAGATGTTTCTCGACTGCACTGAAGAGGCTGAGAACAGTAAGTAGAAAAATAATTTAGATTTAACAGAACAGAGGCAAAGTGTTAAATCTCATTCAGTTCTTTCCTGTCCAGAACATGCAATGCTTGACAAGGTCAGGTTCTTACTGTGCCACACAGGATAGCTAATTTTGCAGCATTAGAATATTTAAAGCCAGAAAGAGAAAAGTAGCTGGAGTAGGAATAACAAAACCAGAAGACCAGACATGTCTGGCCACCTATGGTGGTTATCTAAGCAAAAAGGGCTATGAATTATATTCACTTCTGTTTGTTGGACCCTTCCTCTCATCTAATTGACTGTGCTCCGTTCCCAGCAGCTCTCCTCAATTGCCACCTATTAACAGGAACCTGGGCTATAGCTATTTCTGTTCTGACAGGAACAAAGAACTACTGGAAGCTCTTTTCCTCTCAAAAGGATATCCTAAATGCAAACATGCAGCAACACAAAACATTACTTGCTTGTCAATCCTAATGGAGACACAAAATAGTGAAAGAATGTAGAGCCTTTCCCCAGTCTGCAGGCAGCACTATGCTGAGATGGGCTTTGGGGCATCACTCCTATGTTTTACATCAATCACCTCAATGCAGGGTAGGTTAGTTCACAGACCCTCCACAATGTTAAACTTAATTTTACCTCTGCTACAAGGACAGATTATTCAGCATCAGCCTTTGCTTCTAAGCCGCTATTAATAATATTAGAGTACATCTCAGTGACCGTCACTAGCATTAAGTCTGTGCTGAAAAGCCATTCATTTAAATATGCAGATAAATCTTACACACATTTTTTGTTCAGGGCACACAGAACTCAAAAACAAGTAGTCTCTAACTATACTATTCATTCTGTGAGTGTAAGGCTGTTTGTTTTAATCCTGCTGCAAAAAGCTATCAATAGATATGACTTGTTCCTTTTCCTACCCTGTCCAAATATCATGGCCCACAGTTCAGGCACCCATGTAAGCTGAAGCTCCAAAGTAGATGCAGGACAGCTACCCAGCAGCCAACAGCTGGGAAAGGCGTGGTGAGCATAGGATGGCCCTGTGCACACAGCTTGTGGCATGACCTCTCTAGTGGTCCTCACACTGAGCAATCCCATTTGCACAGATTTCTCCAGGAAAACTTCCCCAGCTTGGCAGCCCACAGACAGGCTTTTTACAGATTTATTAATTTATCTAACTGTTCTTTCATCAGTTCTCTAAGGAAACTAAGAGTTTACCCACAGCAATTACTACCTAGACTAAAAAAATAGAAGAATTTTTGCCCTTTAGGCCCCATTATATGCTCAGTCTTTCACCACAGTCACTATGGCTAACTGAAAAGCCAAGCCCCAGGAGCAGAAGATGAAGCACTTAGAAGCAGAATAGGTGCTGTGTTCAGCAGTGCCTCTCCAAAGGCAGTCCGAGAAATGGGAGCAGCTTAGAAAAAGTGATGCAATAAGCAGAATTTGATACTGCAAACACTATGTTGCCTAATCCCCGGCCTACAGATCTGTCCTGCTAGGCTTTTTAGGTCACATGTATTTGCTTCCTTTGGTGTTATTTCTGAATTTTACCTGAAAAGGAGCTCAGTTACAGGCATTGCATTTTACCATACCATGCCTCAGTATATTTCAACTCAAATTGTATATGAGATAACCTGAGTGGATTTCTGGAAAGAAAAACATAAACCTTGCTTAGCAAGAGTAACATTTCTCCAGAACTGAAGAAGCATTCTCAAAATAACTGCATTTGATAAGGCCAGCAAAAGTATTACTTCCAGTACAGGTGAAACAAATAATATTTGCTTAGTAGAACATGAGTCCAGGATCTTGGCATAATGACCTTCTTTTCCTCAATTGTCTGAGGTTTTTTCAGATTTGAGATGTGATCTTCCAACCAGTGACTACCACTGAACACAGCTGATCAGACTATATCCAAAACAAGAGTTGTGCTTGAAAGAGTCATTTATGCTCCCATATTTTCATGGTGTTCTAGAAGTTCCAAAAACTCCTGAAGATAATATTTCTTAACTCTGAGTAGCTGTTTGCTAATGCCAGGAGGTTGATTTTCTTCTTGCTGCTGACTCTAACACAAGCATTGAGGCATCATGAGTTTTTCCAGGCTGAAGTATCCAGTTGCCTTTTTGTTTGCTTATGCAGGTGTTTTACGTAATTGCCCCAATAAGGCTGACGCTTACGGAAAGCAGCTGCAGCATAGGCAGTGTTGTAGGTGTTCACCACTTACAGCTTAACTGGCCTCTGAGAGTGTAGGAAAACAAGCCCTGTGTTTTCTAGTCAGGTTAATTGAAGTGTTAAAATTATATTATGGCCTTGCATTGTTAATAACACCTGATAAGCAACACCCCAAAATTCAAAATTATTCAAATGCTCTAAAATATAAAGAGACACCACAATAAAATGGGGGGAGGATCCCACCAAAACTGCTTCTCATCTAGTGTTACAGTCATATCTAGTCTAGTCTAATGTATATGAATAGGTATTTAATTCAAAGTTCTTATATTAAAGAAGAAAATTATCAAGAAAAACCTGAATCTAAATTATTTACTGGAGAAATGTAGGCAAAGTCCCTATATCCTTCCCAGGCTTAAAATCTGCCTTTGAATTCGGTCTGCAAGTCTTCTACTGCTTTGTTTTGTACCCCTCTAACTTGTAGGCCTATCATCAAACTTCCATGAGAAGGGTTTCTCAGAAATATATCATTTTTTAAAGAGTCTTAAAAAACAGCTGAGTTTCCTTTTAACCAACCAAAGAGGTGGCCTTTACCTGTTTAAATACTTGAACAGATGAGCCTAGCTGGAAACCTATCTTCCTGTGACAGGAAGGGAGAACTTTTTTAAGAATTTAACTCATTCTCCACCTGATAAAAGATAAGACTTCAGAAGCATATTTCTTTTGTGGCAGTAACTGCACTGTGCTCACTGGGCTGCAGAAGAAAAGGCTCAGGGAAGATCCCATTGATATGTATGAGTATCTGCTGGGAGGGAGTGGAGAGGATGCAGCCAGACTTTACTCAGCAGTATCCAGTGACAGGACAAGAGGCCATGAGGACAAATTAAAATACAGGAAATTTCACTTACGCAGAAAAAAAAAAAACCCTTTTCTGCTGGTAAGGTGGTAAAACATTGGAGTATGTTTCCCAAACAGATTTTGGAGTCTCCATTCTTGGAGACACTTTAAGCCCAATATAGGACATGGTCCTGGGCAACCTGCTGGTGCTGACTGTACTTCCAGCAGGAATCCCCAAAGGCCCCTTCCCCACCTCAAACCTTCCCATCATTCTGTGTCCCTGCAGTCAGCACTGGCATGGCACAGGTCACAGGGCAGATAGATACCCAGCACAGTGTGACTCTACGTGATCCTCTGAGGCCTGTAACTTCTGTATTATCTCAGAAAATCTCTCCATGTGAATACACCTGTGAAGAGACTCTAAACCCCAAGAACTAAAAATGTGATGGTGGATGAGTGACAAGCCTGAGATGGAGCCTCTGCCCTCCTTCAGGAGACTCCATGCAATAACTAAATTGGCGCTTTTTTTTTTCTCTTTTTTTTTTTTTTTTTTTTTTTTTTTTTTTTTTTTTTTTTTTTTTTTTTTTTTTTTTTTTTTTTTTTTTTTTTTTTTTTTTNTTTTTTTTTTTTTTTTTTTTTTTTTTTTTTTTTTTTTTTTTTTTTTTTTTTTTTTTTTTTTTTTACATTATTGATTCTTCCTTGAGGTCACATTTTTAGTTTCACTTCTCCCCACTTCCTTTAAGTTTTCCCTTATGGTCAATTTGCCCAGATTCAAGGATAAAAATGACCGTGTATCACCTCCGTCTGAGCAGTGTATCAGTACATTTAATTTCTTCCCTTAGCACAAAGGGATTATTATTCCATTTTATTTCAGTTGGCTTCTGGGAATACACCCAGCCATTCACCTGTGTGAATTGTCCTTTGTACAAGGATTCTGGTTTTAGAAGCATCTCACGTGAGTTGGATCAAGGATTAGCAGTAAGCATTTCTGAGGACTTGTGGTCACAGTTAACATCCTTTGGGTTTTTTCTGCTATCAGAAGGAATTTTCTTCTATCCTTCCTGGACTATTTCTGTCTGAAACAGAATCAAATTATTCATTGGCCAAGGAATACCACAGTCCCCTGTGAGTAGTCCCATGATTTCCAGACAACTAGACTCTTGCCAGATTAGGCCAAAGGGAGATCCTGCTAAAATCTTTGTGAAATAGCATTTAAGATGTGTATTTGGGCACTAGTAAGGCCTTATTTCTACAGCCTCAAAGGCAACACAAAAGTAAACCTTTGTTTTCTCTGCCCCTTGCCTGCATGGATTGATCCTCCATTAAGGCTTATCTCCTTTCACATAATGAAGCCTGCAGCTTAACCAAGGGAAGCAGCAACAGGCCTGGACTTTCAAGACACTTTTGCCTACTCCCACTAATTTATCCATTTTACCCAGCCCCAAGTAAACCTTATTAAAAAAAAAAAAAAAAAGAAAAAAAAAAAAAAAAAAAAAAAGAAAAAGAAAAAAAAAAAGAAAAAGAAAAAAAAAAAAAAAAATTAAAAAAAAAAAAAAAAAGAAAAGAAAAAGAAAAAAAGAAGGGGAGATGGTCTCAAGCATGCAGGAGTTCTGCACCTTTGTGTTTCCTATTTCCCCTGGCACTGAAGCAAGTGCTTCAGCCACTCATAGCTTGGTGACAGGACAGATTGATTACACTAATTGTATGACAATGACTTGAGCAAGTCATTAGCTGAAGTAGGAATTCAATGCCGAGATCCCAAACTGTCCTTTGCCCTTGCTGCACTGATACCTTATCTGCTTCAGCTTCAGAAAGGATTCAATGGCTGAATTGCTGAGGGCTGTAGCTCTGAGGAACATTCCTGATCAAAACACAATTACCTGGCAACTTGATTCTGTGGGCTGTGAAACCGACCATGGAAAGGGAAGGTAAAAGAAGATGCTGACCCTGCTGCAACCTCACCCAGGCTGTTCAAGTGTTGATACTGTAGGTCTGTGTAAAGAGAGCCCTGCCTCCAGTGGCTTTTAGCTGCTGCTCAGCAGCTGATCTTGTTTTCCTCAATACAAACTTATACCGGCTTTGGGAATCCAAATGCACCTGTCGTAAAAGACCTCATTCTCCCTCTGAACACAGGGGTCATTAAAACATTCATTTGTGCAAATATGAGTGCTGTCAAAATGGTCCATTGAACTGATCTTGTACCAAGGAGCTGCGATAGAGTTCAGGGTATACTGTGTGCACAGACTGTTACCCACTTAGGGACCAGGTAGAGTGAAAAACACTTCTACCTGAAGTTCATAGCCTGAAAGCCATATAGAAGAACAGCCTTGATTTGGTAACAGCCTAATCCTTTATCCTAAAGGCAAACTAGCCCTTCTTCCCACTCATGTCAGTATCTCAGATTTGAAGTGTTAAACAGCAAAACAAGGCACAAGAGTATGACAGTAACACCAAGCAAGGCAGTGCTTTTAAGTATTCTTAAAAAAAAAAAAACAACAACGTAAAAGTCAACCTAAAACTTTATTTAGTATAAAACTTTCAGAAGACAATTTGTTTGACTATTTGAAGCACTACACTGACAACATACTCATTAAAGACAATTCCCGTTCTCCTAAAGTATAATCTCGTTTCATACTGCACCCTTTATTTGTTGCTTTCATCCTGACAGAGAGGCTGTACAGATCTTCTTCCGCAATGCCATCAAAAAAGAAGTCCTCATTGAAGATGGGATTTCTGCTTCTCTTTATAACTGTGCTTTTCTGCTTCTGTGTTTTCCCTGGCACCAGGGAGAAGGAGATACAGCAGTTTATGGTTTTGGGCTCTACAGAATCATCATATAACCCCTCTGCACTGATCAGGCGGATCCGCAGCCTTTCGTTCTCTGAGCAGTATTCAGCTGACAGCCTCAACACGCCTCCCTTGTCCATTACCACAGTATTCTCTCCCACCAGTCTCTCCCGACTGCAGGTCAGGTCCACTGGAAACATGGGAGAACAGGAAGTGCTCTGTATGCCAAGCAGCCCCTCAGAGGCTCTCCTGATGGCACTGGGGCTGTTATCAGTGGAGCTGCTCTCCTCTGTAGAGAGAGAATTGTTCCTGGGCATAATGTATTTGCTCTTGTCCTTCAGTGCCCTGCAGAGCAATCCCTCCTGACTTTGTGCCTTGATCAGGGAGCAGGGTCTGGGAGGTGACCTGCTGAGAAGTGGAGAACTGAACGGAGAGGAATCACTGGAAGAGGCAGTGTCACTGTCACAGGCACCTTGCCTGTGCAGAGAGAGATGCTTGGGCGGCAGTCTCACAGAAGCAAAGCTGATAGCAATGGGATTAGATATACTCCCTTTGCCACTGAAGGTGTTAGCTCTGGATCGAGACAGCTTCAAGCTGGGCAGAGCACCACGTGGATCACCATGGAAGATGGACTCCTTCCTCCTGGTGTGGGGACTCTCCAGCAAAGTGCAGAAACCATAGGAAGTGGGGGCTCTGGGAAAGTGGGGCAGGGAGAGTGCTGCTTGGGACTGTGGGTCTGCATTGGTGCTTTCTTCCTCCAGGGCAGAGATCTCCTCTTCAACACTTTCCACCTGAATGAGATGTGGGCAAGAGCTGGGGCTATAATCAGCAGCAAGAGCTGCATCCACTGAACTGTGATCCTGGTGGAAGCCACTGCCCTTAATGGAGGCAGAGCTGGTCAGCCTCGGGGGAATGCAAAATTCAGGGATTCTGTCAGGAGTAATCACATTTGGAAAAGCAGCAGCCCTCAGTTGAGCTTTTTCTGGCAGATTTTGGCCTTGTGGTAGTCCCAGGAAGGAGGAGCTGGGGAGGTTTCCATTTTCATGTGATGCTCTGATCTTTTCCAACAACCACATCACTGCAGCTGGGCAGGAAGTCTTCAAAGGGGAAGAGTTTCAAAGAGAACTCCACCTGCAGACACACAGAGAGGAAAAGGCACATGAACATCCTTTTTGGACACACTACAGCCAAGCAAAGCACAAAGGGTGCCACTCAAGGCAGGACTAGCACAAGCCCATGTTCAAAACAGCCCCTGCCCAGCACACTACCTTTAGCGAAGTCAATAGGTGCAAGAATAGAACTAAACCACTAAAGACAGAAAACAGCATCGAGTCACTAGTAAAGGGAAATGTCCCTCTTGCATAATCCCTACCGTGTTTTTCCCCCAGCAGAAGACGTACCTTGACAAGTGCAAGCCTCGTTCTTTCCAGCCGCCCCGGCTCGCCACTACCCGGGCTCGTTCCCAGCAGCTCCGATCGGACCACGCAGCCCGCCCCGAGCCTTTTGTAGCGGTGCCGGGCGCCGCCCCGCCGCGGCTCCGGCCGGGGGAAGGGGCGGGGCCGGCACCGCAGCTCCTGCTCCCCCGCGGAGGGCAGAGGAGGAAATCTGCCCTGCAGGGCGCTCTGCTGGGCACCGGGGCCGTGCCTGGGGCAACGGGGAGGGACTTGCAAAAGGGGCCTCTCACGGGAAAGCGCTTTTTGACCGTCTCCTTTTCGCCCCCGCAGAGCAGCGGATGTTCCCGGCGCTTGGCACTCGCCTGCGAGCGCGGGGGGACGGGGCTGCCCGCGCCCTGCCCCAGCCCCTTGCCCTTCCCCTGCGTCCAGTTTCTTTTTGATTAATATCTACTTACAGAGGCGTCCCGAGGTATTTCGAGATAACTAACAAACCCAGGACAAAAGCGACATTGTCTTGGCGATTCATTTCTTCTGGAGATCCTGGCAGCTTTCCAGTGTTAGAGCAGTAGGAAGTGGGGATTGCGGTTTTCAAGCTCATTTGTAAAGAACTTTGCTGCCCTTCTACATCTGAATGTGTCCACCCCCTCGTTACTCACAGAGACTACGGAACGCTGACACAGCGTTCTTATCAGTGACACTGAGCAGAAACAGAAACGGGAATGCAGGTGCATTGAGGAGAAAGACAAGGCACGAAATGCTTTGGCAAGTCACCTTGAAAAAGAGCATTTCAAAAACCGAGGCCCGCCTGACGCTTAACAGACCCTGCTCAAAGCCAGGTGGGATCCATGAACTTCCTCACCAACGCCGCAGAGGCCGAACGGACCTCTGCAAACTCTAATTATTCTGCAAGCTGCAAGTAGGAATCTTTAATGCAAAGCCAGGAAGGCCTGCAAAACCGGTTGCCTAAATACTCATCTGAAGCCTATAGCACAGGGATAGTAGACAAATAATATTCTTCCCACTTCCGATGAAGAGCTAAACTGCATATTTACTGAGTGCTTGAAATAGATGAGATGTGCTCAGAGAAAACAAATCCCGTGGGCAACAGGGGCAGGGAACATTTTGAACCTGCTGAAAGACTTAGCTGGGTACACACGTGTTCTGGGTGTAAGCCCTGCCTCACTCCTGTTTGTTTTATACCAGTTAGGCTTCATTAGCGTAACAATCTCCTGGTGATTAAAATCTGAGAAAATTCTTTTTGTCGTGCTTTGTAAAAAGGTTCAGGACACCCCAAATATCCCAGTGACATTTCTGATGTAGGAGCTCCTGTAGTTTAGTTAGATGAATTTACTTGATGTGGGTGTGCTTCAAATAATCTCCAATCTAATTTAGAGGCTTCTGGAGAGGGTTAGTGCTTTCTCCAGCCAATGAGAGTTCACAGCAGAATAGTAAGAGGAGTTCCTGGAGATGTTGGGATGCTTTCTTTTAGGAAGCAGCATGTGCACCTTATAGCTGTTATCCATTCAGACCAGGCAACACTGTACCATGTATCATGCATTACATGTAGTTTCTAAAGAGTAAGTGAGCTTGTTCTGTGCTATGCACCTCTGCCTTTAATAGCAAAGAAAAAAATACCTCTAAACATGGAGAAAAATTAAAGAAATGGCACTTTTTAGTGGAAACCTTATTGCCTTCAATAACAGATTATAGAAGTTGTTCATATACAGCAGTCATGGCAACCAGCCTCAGGTGTACTAAGTTCACAGCTGGCATCAGGCAGTGATGAAATAAAATAGCTACCCTGTTATAGGTACGTGATTTCTCCCGAGTCTCTTTCCCGTCAGGGAAAAGAGTTAGGGCTTCTCCAGATGTGGTCAGAGTCTCATGATCACAGTTGCCTGTCTCCCTCCAGTGACTGTAAAGAGGAAGCAGGTGCCTTTCACGTGTTGGTGGATCCTCCCCTTTCTATGAAAGCCTGCACTTTTATAGACATTTAACAGATTGCTCATATGCTGGGAGTTCAGCAACACTCAAGCACTTGTACCTGCCCCGTGGAAACAGGCTCTCAAATGTGTATATATAGCTTCCTGTGTTCAGAACAGATTCTTTCCTTGATTAGCTTCAGAGCATAATTAAAATATGCTACCAACAAGACTTCTTGTTGTTATAAAAATGTGCCTACAATAATCCTCTCTTAAACCGGATATAATTCGTGGCAAGTCTTTATTACGATCCCTGTACCAACAACAGGTGAAACCCTGGGATCTCGGCAGGGGCTTGTAAAAAAAAAAAAAAAAAAAAAAAAAAAAAAAAAAAAAAGGAATCTCCTTCCAACACAGGAGGAAGTCGGGAGTTTTCCTTCGTGTGTTACTGGTGTGATTTATCTCCTGCCGTTCGGACTTCACGGGCTCAGGAAAGGTCCACCCGCGTCTCGCCACCTCCGGCCGCGGCGCCCGGGCAGCCCCGCCCCTGCGGGAGGCCGGGGCTGGGTAACGCATCAGAGCCCAGCACATGGCTGAAGCTGGCAGGTTCAAGGACCTGCAACTGCACGGAGAACCCTTTCAGCGGATTGCAGATAGAGCTACAGGAACTGACGGCCCTTGGAGAATGTGCACCAGGGGAGGGGAAATCACTCCCTGCCGGTCAAAATGAAGGCAAAGATAAAAACAAAAAAAACCTCTGGTTCTGGTCTGAAAGGGGGAGATGTGAATGCCAGTCCTGGATGAGACAGCACATAATAACTCAGTATTCTTAAAGCAACAGCAATGGCTGTGCATTATATTACCCTAAAACATTCCAAATTTCCACAAGTTTTTGTGAGAATAGAGAACTCAGTTCAGCTTTATTTTCCTAAAGAATGCAGCAGTAACTCAGCTGTAGCTTCTTGAAAGAAGACTTCAATCAACTGAGAAGCACTTAGATACACATTTTTTTTTTGTTAGAGGTTGGAATCATGAGCAAAACCAGCACATTGTATAGCGCATTAATTCCTTCCTGTCACTTCGACAAATGTCAAAGATAGCTATTAGCAGACTGCTCACCATTTCTGGCCTTAATCAATAGCAAAATCATTCTGCATTTCTTTCATAGTAATACAAAGAATAGAGGTTCAGCAGACAACCTGACCTTTTTTTTTTTTTTATCACAGAGTAGCTTATATTTTATCTCATCAGCAAAAGACAAGGTTCTGCATAGCTTTACAAGAAATGTCCATGCTCCTTTAAATGAACAAATGAGCAGATGCCCAAGTGCTGGCAGCAGGAGCTCAGGGCCCTTCAGGCACTTGGGGACTTTATGCCAAGTATCTCAAGTACCTTGTGTCAAAGCAGTGTGAACTGTAAAAAACTAAAAGCATGAACTGAAGAATTCACTCTTGATAGCATATTACATAGTCCTAAGAAGCTGAGAGTTGCCATGCAAAAATCCAAGAAAGGTATGCTGTTCCTAATTCCACTCAGCCGGTTTCCCAAAAAAGCAAATTCTACAGATAGATAAGCAGGATAAAAATTCAACAGCAAAGTGGAGCAGATTTCCAGGACCAGAGGGTTTACTAGACAGCCTGGGCAGTTTAGGTATGTTGATGGGAAGGATCCTAAAGAAGACTGGAACTGGTTTGAGGAAGGAAGAAAAAAGAAAGTGGGATTTAATTTAAAAAAAAAAAAAAAAAAAAAAAAAAAAAAAAAAAAAAAAAAAAATTTTTAAAAAAAAAAAAAAAAAAAAAAAATCCAAAACAAAAAAAACAGGGATTTTTGAGTTGTGTTACACAGCTCCAACTTTGAAGACACATGTGACTCTCAGCCAAGGCCTGGCAAACTGCTGCCTTTCAGTGACTTGCAGTCATTAAACTTCAAAGGGGAAAAGGTCTCAGATACTCAAAAGGAGGCGCTGATACCCCTGTTATGACCACTACTGTGAAGTGTGAAAGTGTCTGATCTTCCTGCAGGGAATCAATATTACCAACAGAGCTAAACGATGTCCAGTCAGGAAGATAACTTTATAGCTGGACAGATGCTTGCTGAGAGGCCAGCCATAAGGTCACAGCCAAGTCATGCAGATGCAGACACAAAGAATGGAAGTTTCATTTCCTCTAAAAGATTTACACTCCACAGGCACTGCAAGTGCCTTTAATTCAGATTCTTGAAGCCGTGGCAGAGGTGCACAGTTTTCAGCAAGACAGAAGGAACACATATCCAAGGGACTGCTGCATAAACTGCATTGTTAGTGGATGTTTCATTTAAATCTAATAGGGCTAAACATGATGAAAACCTAAAAATTCCCATGGCATTTCCTACAGTTTCAGCTCTGTATTACAGACTGTGTTTCTTTCAAGAATTTTGCAATCTGGTGAAAGCAGAACTGCCCCTAGACTGTCTTGTTAAGGTGACTCTTCAGTTGTGGAAGATTAACTTATTCCAGTGTCAAACAGTAAACTTTCAGGGCAGGCCTCTCCTAACTAGGCCAGGTAACTGTCTTTTAGGAGTCTCAGGAGAAAAACTGGTTAGGTCTTCTCACAGAGATGTACTGGTTACAGCAGTAATGAGCTCCATGCATATCATGGCTTTGTAGAGTTACTGTGCTGTGGCTTATAGAAGGATACATCCTCAGTAATGAAATGGGAAAATTACCACTGGTATTTTCCTCTGAGTAAAAATAGAAATTAAATCAGGCAGTACAACTTTCTAATTTATAGACCAGACTATTTCAGTTGAAAGGGACCTAAAACTATCATCTAAGTCCAACTGCCAGACCAATCCAGGGCTCCTCAAAAGTTATATGTGTGTTATTAGGGGCACTATCCCAATGCCTCTTAACACACTGACAGGCTTGGGGCATTGATTGCCCATCTAGAAAGCCTGTTCCAGTGTCTGACCACACTCTTAGTAAAGAAATGCTTCCTAACATCCAGTCTGAACCCATCTTAACCCAGCTTTGAACCACTGCCATGTATCTAGTCACTGGATCTGGATCCCAGGAGTAGAGTTCAGCACCTCCCTCTCTGCCTCCCCTCATCAGGAAGCTGTAGAGAGCAATTAGGTCACCCCTCAGCCTCCTTTTCTTTAAGCCAGGCAAACAGTGTCCTCAGCCACACTCATTTCAGATTCCCTGCTTAGACACAAAAGCATAAATAAACACTTAATGCAACCATCTCCATTCTGGTAGCCTCAATAGAATATTTTCTGCAGTTTGGTCCCATGCCTAATGTAGTCTAATTTGATGGTCATTCTCATGTAACCTAAATTAATTCATTCCATATAAGGTTACATTGACACCTGAAAAGTGAATCACACACACACAGAGAAAAACTATTCTCTCCATCTTCTTTGTGCTCTAAGTAAATTTAAATATGAAAGATAAAAGCTACAAATTATTTTGCTTTTCAAATAAAAATTAGCCTTTATAAAAAGAAACAAAACAAAAATTCTCCACAAACCTTCAAATCAGTAAGGATCACTCCTATCAAGGTTAAAGAGAAAAAGATGAAAACAATGCCAGGACTGTGTATTAGGAAAAACTACATCTATGTTTGTCCCTGCAAAGAATGTAATTTTTTACATCCATTTCAGAAAGTCAAACTAGAGGAAAAGCTATGGATCTATG